CAAGGAGGTCCTCTAGAGCTCAGCTTGGAGGCTCAATCGCAGCTGGCCTAGCTGAGGGTATGTAGCGCTTGCTTTTCAGCTGCCAGGCGAAGCTTACACATGCCATGCATGCAGTGTGCGCTGTGAGCACACGTATTCCATGGGCATCGGAGCTGCACATCTTGCATATTTCGTAGGGTTTCCTTCACTCAAAGCGAAGTGAAAAATGTACAGTTTTGCCATTCAAATTGGCGATGTCATGGAAGTGATCTTTCAAGTTGATGCGCATTGGGCAACTTAAAGTTTCAAGTTGCTCACAAGATTGCATGCAGAGTCTGGTAGCGAGCTTGACAATTGTCAAGCTCGCAAACTATCATCCAGCTGGGCTTTTCCGCATACAGATATCCTAAGCGAGAATCCATAATATAAATAGGGTGTGTAGTGTATAAGCTCTACATACTCTACATCAAACAGAGTGTTTCGCCCCTCAAGCTGGGCAATAGCGGGGCCTCTGATGCAAAATCACTGACAGTTGCCAATGGCTACATGCGGTCACTTCGAGCAGGTGGGTTATATGGTGGATTTAGCAGGGGTCAGACTTGGCATTGAGATGAGGCTACAGTTGTGACGGGATTTTCTTCTGGGGCTCGGCTGATGCTCAGTATATCCTAGGTTTGTAGGCCCTGCTGGGCAACTCGTGTTCCAATCCCTGTGACTGCTTGAACACCAATAAACAACCCTTGCCTGAAAGTGTGGACTTCTGTCTCTTTGTGGGAAGTTCTCCCCAATGGTCCATATGAATCATCAGCCTGGTAAAGGCGAACTGGTTATCATATCCCAATAGGTATCACACAGTGGTGGCAACACTGCAACATGTGTGTCGGACTTGGCCAGCTTTGTTCCCACTGGCACCCTCCGAAGAGCCTCTACCCCCAGCTGGCTGCGCGCTAATGCTGGCCATGGGCTTTCCGGCACGGGGGGTGAGCCTGCGGCCAGGGGAGAGCGGGCAGCGGCAGCAGTGGCAGCGGCAACGCGCCATCATGATGGGCGGCACGCGCACCTCGGCAAGACGTGCGCCGTTGGCTGCAGTGGCAGCGTCAGCACAGGACACAACGGCGGCGGCAGCGGCAGCGGCCAGAGCACTTTTGCCGGCGGCAGAACAGACATGCATGCTCCTTGCGATGGCGGCGGCATGCACGTCATCGGCTGCTGCAGGAGAAGTGAGACCGCGGCAGAGTCAGCAGCGGCATGCACTGCCTGGGCAGCAGAGACAACAACGCGCACTCCCGTGGCGGTCACGGTGGCAGTGGTAGGCACGCTATCAGCTTCTGCGCGGGCTCCATGCTGCAGCAGCAGCGCGTGCGCAATTGGCGGCGGTAGCTGGGGTACGTGCACCACCGATGTTACCGCAGCACGGAGACTGTCATGGCGCCAGCAACAGCACACCAGCAATGATGGCGGTGCTATAGCGGCAAGGGGTGAGCTTACAGCCATTGGTAAAAGCGCAGCGGCAGCTGTGGCATGCGTTTGAAGTTATTTGGCAGCACGCGCGCCATCGATGGCACGCACGCCATCGGCGGCACGTGTCCCAACATGGGCCATTGGCTGCTGTGACAGCAGCGAAGTTCACAGTGGCAGCGGCCACGGCAACAGCGGCCAGTGTGCATTTAGCAGTGGCAAGACGGGCATGCGCGCTTATGACGGTGGCGGCGGCATGCATGCCTTCGGTCGCTGCAGCAGCAGCTGCTGCGAAGTCCGCGGCGGAGGCAGCAGTGGCATCATGCGCTCAGCCTGTCAGAATACCAGGCTTTCCTACTAGTAGGTCTGCAGCAGTAGTTGCTTTATAACTTAATTGAAGACGCAGGGTCTGACTGGCTATGATAGTTACAGCGCAGGGTCACAGCATTTGCTCGAGACAATTCCTTTCCCACATTTTCCCAGATTTCTCAACGTTGCTCTGCAGGGCACGTTTCCTTCTCAGGGCATGCTTTGCTCGCCCATCTATAGTATCTCAATTTACTTCTTCTTACACTGTATTTCAGCGAGAGTCTTTCTTCCTCCTTGGTGCCTTGCTACGTTGGCTTGGCATCCTCAAATGGAGCTCTCAGAGGCAATGTAGCTGCGCTCGTCCGACTCGTTCCGCCTCAAGCATACTCGTGCACGAAACTTTGTCAGAAGAGGTAGTGACGTGCACGCTAGCGGAGGCGACGTTCAACTTGGTAGGCATGCGTGCCATCGGCTGCCCCCGAGTCGACGGCTCCTGCAGCAGTTTGGCGGCGGCGACAGGGGCATGCATATGCATATGATGCCGGTGGCACTGCAGTCACCGGGTGGCAGTGGCTCATGCGTGTGCTGCCGATTGCTGCCGCAGCAGCGGAGGCTGTCTCATTGCGGGGCAATATGCCACAGTACACGTGCAGGTCACACCAGCAATGGTGGCAACGCTTGCGACGAGCCCCTGGGGTACGCGGATGTCGCGCGAGAAGTACTCCCGTGCGACGGGGACATCGCTGGTGCAGCAACGGCCGTCAGAGTGCACTAGGTGCATTGGAGGGTGTAGTAGCTACAGTAGCCAAGAGACTCTGAGTCATGTGCTGCAGCGCGCAGCTGCACACGACACCATTGCAATCGTACGCGTGCTACAACAGCAACCATGGCAACTAGCCCAGCTGTGGCAGCGGCAGCACCTGTGTTGCCCACTCGATGACCAGTAGTGGCGGTGCAGCTACAGGGCGGGCATGCAACGCATGTTGCATGTAACCGTGCCTCTGAGTCAGTGCAGGGCTGCTCTATGCTACATGGACATGCGGCAGCGGTCAAGTGCTAGTAGCACCTTGCTTTGGCAGTACCAACAGCGGCTCTGGCGGCAGCTAGGTATATGCCGTCACTGGAACTGCGACGGCGTAGTTTGTGGCAGGCTGGAGGCTATGGCGCACTGCTGCAGTACAGGCACGAAGTGGTGCAGGTGCTTGCAACAGCACCGGGCGTGACAGTGAGCACGGGTAGCAGCGGAGCGGGAACGCGCAATCGCAGGGGAAACATCGACTCGGAGGACAGCAGCAACTGCTGCTTGGACGCGCAGCGGCATATCTGTGTTGGTGACTGTGGGCACTGCGTCACCCGCAGGGGCGGCAGCGAGTGCAGCGGCGCCGCAGCGGTGGCGGCGGCAGCATGCACAGCCGCGTACACATGGGTGCTTGTGAATGTGGCGTTGGCGGAGGCGACGTGCCTAACCTCAGGGGCAGAAACACTCGCCAGTGGCTGGGACAATGTGTGTGCTAGCAGCTGCAGCACAGCAGCAGCGAGCCAAGGACTACAGTTGCTGGGTGGTGGGCACGGCGATTAATTAGCAGGGCGCAGCAGCAGAGCGTGGCACTGACATGTCGCTCTGATCAGCGCTGTGGTGTGCGGTGTCGGAGCGCAGTGGCGGCAGCGCTCTTTTAGGCTGGTGAGGCTTAGGCTGCGGCGGCAGCGCGGTGCCCAACTAGTACAAGAAAACCCTCAATAACGCAAAGTCATTAGTGAGCTTGAAGAGATTACGTACAGGCGTATTGTGATGCGGGCCCTACTTTTAGGAAAGAAGGCAGCCTCAGGGCTGGGGGAGGGTTGGTCTCAGAATCTAATAGAAGTATACTGTAGGCTAACCCAGATTAGCCTCTTCAACCATTGTGACACTTTGGGGTTTTCGGCACGAGCGCACCTCGCGTGCCTGGGGGTTCACGGGTTGAGCCTGCTAGCTTTGACACTAGGGCTTCAGATGTGTCTTGTACAATTTGTGCCAAGGTTCTTGGGGTGTATTTTTTATTGATTCTCGCTCGCTCAGAGCGTATTTTCATTGATGACATGTCGTTTGAGGGGCAAAAACCCTGCATCATACAGTCTAAGAGTACTACAGTATGTGCACAGTACAGACACAAGACTGTTGGCGACTGGCTCCCAGCGCACACAGGGCACGTGCGTCCAAGTGCATACCATTCGCATCCAACTTGAGAAATTCCAGTGTAATTCGTGAGATATACTTCAGTGGGCCTGCTGACAGCGCGGCTCAACTTGCTGGTGCCAGCCACATTTTGGTGTTGGCTTCTGAAGATGATCAGGCTGGGGGGGGGGGGGGGGGGCTGGGATTCTCGCCAGGTTTGCGGCCTAGTAGTACCTAACCCTTATCCCAGGGCCTAACCTTAACCCTAACCCCAACCCTTCAAAGTTTGTGTGGGTTCAAAAGCTCAATTTGTGTCAACTCGCAGGAGGGGTACTACGTGGCAGTCATGGAGGTGGCTGTTTGAGTAACATTTGGGCATCAACAGTCAATATTTGGATAGATGGAAGCAGCACTTCAAGTTGATTGAATTGCGGTTGCTAGGATTAGGGGCTGCGCCTGCCACTGCGCTGCAGATGAGCGAGTCATGTTGTACCTGGCGGCGCCCCGACCGAAGCGGGGTCATTGAACTGGGTGTAAGTACCACAAGGAGGTCCTCTAGAGCTCAGCTTGGAGGCTCAATCGCAGCTGGCCTAGCTGAGGGTATGTAGCGCTTGCTTTTCAGCTGCCAGGCGAAGCTTACACATGCCATGCATGCAGTGTGCGCTGTGAGCACACGTATTCCATGGGCATCAGAGCTGCACATCTTGCATATTTCGCAGGGTTTCCTTCACTCAAAGCGAAGTGAAAAAATGTACAGTTTTGCCATTTAAATTGGCGATGTCATGCAAGTGATCTTTCAAGTTGATGCGCATTGGGCAACTTAAAGTTTCAAGTTGCTCACAAGATTGCATGCAGAGTCTGGTAGCGAGACGACAATTTTTTTCTTTTCAAGAAGCAGCTGGGCTTCTTCATGCGTCCTTAAGCAAAGAGCAACCAACAAAACAAAAAAATGCAGCATGTTTGCATTTGAGGCCTCCATTAATTCATCCATCAAACAAATGCTACTGTTTTGTCAACAATTTTTGTCAACAAAACTACATACACTGTTATGCATGTTTTGGTCGCCTCGCTCACCGAATAAAAAAGTGAAAAGAAAAAATGATACTGAGGACGGGGTTTGAACCCGCGAGTACAGTGTACGTTGCAGCTTAAGTGCAATGCCTTAGACCACTCGGCCACCTCAGTTCTTGATTTTTTGATCACAACTCCGCAGGATGATCGGTCCCTGAGTCGTGGATGATGATGTGCTACCAGCCCTGGGTTCATTGAACCAGCTGCAGCTTACACCCAGTAGGAACACCCGGTGCACTGTGTGCTACCCATCTTGTGATGCTGCAGTGCATCTGATGGGACAATAGGATATAATCTTGAAGTATTCACAAATAAGACTTCAAGGCTGTCAACTTGCAGGCAGCACACCTGTGTCACTGTCTGGCAAGCCACCTGAGAATGACCGTAAAGTGTAGTCCGTACGCTGTGTACGTTGCAGCTTTTGACAACAAGTGCACAGCAACTTGCTTTGAGTCTCACAAAACGAGTCGGCTCTTCGGCCTTCTGTGGGGTAAATCAAATGTGGGTGGTCAGTTGTGGGATACTCCAATCATCATGGTAATTTTTAAAAGCATCATCGGATTCCCTTACATTTGAACAGATTCGGGAATCCAGTGCTCTGAACGGCCCTGGTCCAAAGGAGCCCCTTTCCTGATACAAAAAATCAATGAAACAAATAGAGGGGGAGGGGGGGTTGAACACGCTTCAGCCACTCAGATGTATGACTCAGAGGCAGTTTTCATACTGATATGCTAGATGAAGTGTTGAAACTTCATGACCGCAGTGAGGAGCTAGCTACCTGAACATCACCAGCAACCACCGCGCGCCGCCGCACGCCGACGCGCCGCTGCCTCGATGATGATCAGCTGCACCAATCACATTCAGAATCGCTTGTCCCGGTCATCACTCTCAGAGAGTCTGCCATGCAAGGCGTTGAGCGGCGCCCCCGCGCCAGCTCTCGACTCTCAACCGCAGCGCGCATACCCCGTTGAGCACATCAGCTGGCTCATCCGCTGCGCCCCAATCATGGTGCCCTCTGGCACTCGAGCAGCCGCGCGCAATCTAGGTCTATACCGCAGGAACAAATTATTGCGGAGGTCGGACCTGCGCACCTCACAAATCCTCATCCGCTAGGCTAAGCCTGGTAACCACATCAACATGTACAGTCACTACAATTTTTCGCAGTGTTTCCTAGCACCCTCCTGAGTCTTCGCCCCTTCTGCCAGTAGCATACAAGTAAATACAACCTGACCTGCCCCCCCCCCCCCCCCCCCTCCCCCACCCGCCCCCATGTGCACCGCCACTGTGACGGCCCCGCAAGTACAGCCATGCCGGCGCTCACCTCCCGCTGGAGAGGCTGAAGGCGCTGGTGGTGCGCCTGATGGCGGTCGCCCTTCAAGTTGCGCAGGCGCCCTGTGACAACGCCGTCACGGTTGCATGGCAGCTTGTGGTGCTCGTCTGTTCTCCATGCAGCACCTCAACCGCGGCCATGTAGCTCAGCGATCGGCGACGACTTCCGCAAGCGCAGCCGGGAGTGTCGCGGCCCCTCGACGCGCCACGTGGTGCTCACCAGCACTCAAGAGCTGTTGAACGCGCAGCTGGCGTGAGATGCAGTCCCCTGCGCAGACGGCAGCACGCAGCAGCAGCAGCAGCAGCAGCAGCAGCAGCAGCAGCAGGACATGGGCCTCAATCTATGAATATGGGTGGTCGCTGCTGGCCAGTATGATAGTGGCAGGCGTGGGCATGTATGACAGCAGCCGCCGCAACATCTGCTGCTGCACTACAAGCTCAGGGCGGAAGAGCGGATGTCACTGTGCCACGGGGGCAAAAATACTGCAATTGTAGAGCGGCGGTGCCAGTGGGGGCAGCAGGGGGGCTTATAACATGCAGCCGCCTGAGACGCACGTGCTCAGGACATTGTCTTCCGTCGAAGGCATCCCCGTTGGTGACCTAGAGGAGGCCATCTGCGAGCCGCTGCTGCTTCAAGTTGCGGCTGTTGGCAGGGCGCAGCTGAATCCATGACCATGCATCAGTGAGTCCTCAGGACCACACGCAGCACTGGATTTTTTTTATCCATGACCAGGCATCAGTGAGTCCTCAGGACTAGACTACACGCAGTAGCACGAGTACGCCTCAGTTCTGATCTTCAAGTCATGACCACTGGCATGCATTAGTGAGTCCCCAGGAGTACACCTATAGTAGTATTACACCGTGTCTGTGTGCTTGAAGTTCCTACCCATGACTGTGGGTTGTTTCACACTGTATGCTCCTGGCCACACTGCAGTTACCAAGTACCCACTGACCGAAGTCAAAGTGGATTTTGACCAAATTGAATGGCATGACCCTGGGCCAGTAGGATGGTTCCCTATTGAGTCATGCAACAAAACTTTGGATACCGGGCTGTGGGTGATGACCTGCTTATCAATACACCATTTGAGTTAGGCACTTGACTCACTGACAGCTAAATCAAATGTGGGCGAGGTCGACGTGAAAGTGCCTAGTAAGACACCTACTAGACCAAGTACACTGTACATCACATCCTCCCTCACAGAGGCTCCGAGTCAGTCACTGCAGTGTGTTCAAAGTTTGGCAGTGCAGTGCCGCTGTGACAGTTGTTGTCAACTCGATATGCGCAACACAAGGCTACTACTAGTAGGCCTGACTGGGGTTGTAGTACCCCGCCTTTTTCATCATGAGTCCTCAGGATGATGGATTCCTGAGTCGTGCATGCATCAGCCCTGGGGGTGATGATCTGCTTGAGCAAACTACAGAACAGTGACTGTGTGCCAACTTGACCGTTGAACGATCATGTCTTTCTACGCGTCGCTGTCGCTGTCCAGGTAGTACGTGTAGTACCTCGGTTGTGGTTGCACACTGACAGTGTCTGGCAAGCCACCGGAAAATGATCGTACAGACTGAGTGTGAGCTACTATGATACGTTGCAGCTTAAATGCAATGCCTAGACCACTCGGCCACCTCAGTTCTTCCCCCTCGACTTTTTTAATCAGGAGTCCTCACTGACAGGGTGATGGATTCCTGAGTCATGCGTGCATCAGCCCTGGGGGCGATGACCTGCTTGAGCAAACTACAGAAAAGTGACTGTGTGCCAACTACTTGTCATGTCTTTCTACAAGTTGCTGTCCAGGTAGAACGTACGTGGTACGGACTCCGAGGTTGTGGTTGCATACTGTCCTGGCAAGCCATCTGAGAATGACCATAAAGTGTGAGCTACTGTGACACGTTGCAGCTTTAGTGCAATGCCTAGACCACTCGGCCACCTCAGTTCTTGATTTTTTAATCACAACTCCGCAGGATGATCGGTCCCTGAGCCGTGGATGATGATGTGCTACCAGCCCTGGGTTCATTGAACCAGCTGCAGCTTACACCCAGTAGGAACACCCGGTGCACTGTGTGCTACCCATCTTGTGATGCTGCAGTGCATCTGATGGGACAATATGATAATAATCTTGAAGCATTTACAAATAAGACTTCAAGGCTGTCAACTTGCAGGCAGCACACCTGTGTTACTGTCTGGCAAGCCACCTGAGAATGACCGTAAAGTGTAGTCCGTACGCTGTGTACGTTGCAGCTGTTGATAACAAGTGCACAGCAACTTGCTTTGAGTCTCACAAAACGAGTCGGCTCTTCGGCCTTCTGTTGGGTAAATCAAATGTGAGGGGTCAGTTGTGGGATACTCCAATCATCATGGTAATTTTTGAAAGCATCATCGGACTCCTTTACATTTGAACAGATTCGGGAATCCAGCGCTCTGAACGGCCCTGGTCCAAAGGAGCCCCTTTCCTGATACAAAAAATCAATGAAACAAAGAGAGGGGGAGGGGGGTTGAACACGCTTCAGCCACTCAGATGTATGACTGAGAGGCAGTTTTCATACTGATATGCTAGCTAAAGTGTTGAAACTTCATGACCGCAGTGAGGAGCTAGCTACCTGAACATCACCAGCAACCACCGCGCGCCGCCGCACGCCGACGCGCCGCTGCCTCGATGATGATCAGCTGCACCAATCACATTCAGAATCGCCTCTCCCGGTCATCGCTCTCAGAGAGTCTGCCGTGCAAGGCGTTGAGCAGCGCCCGGCCCCCGCGCCAGCTCTCGACTCTCAACCGCAAGCGCGCACACCCCGTTGAGCACATCAGCTGGCTCATCCGCTGCGCCTCAATCGTGGTGCCCTCTGGCACTCGAGCAGCCGCGCGCAGTCTAGGTCTATACCGCAGGAACAAATTATTGCGGAGGTCTGACTTGCGCACCTCACGAATCCTCATCCGCTAGGCTAAGCCTGGTAACCACCTCAAAATGTACAGTCACTACAATTTATTTGCACAGTGTTTTCTAGCACCCTCCTGAGTCATCGCCCCTTCTGCCAGTAGCATACAAGTAAATACAACCTGACCTGCCCCCCCCCCCCCCCCCTCCCCCCACCCGCCCCCATGTGCACCGCCACTGTGACAGCCCCCCGCAAGTACAGCCATGCCGGCGCTCACCTCCCGCTGGAGAGGCTGAAGGCGCTGGTGGTGCGCCTGATGGCGGTCGCCCTTCAAGTTGCGCAGGCGCCCTGTGACAACGCCGTCACGGTTGCATGGCAGCTTGTGGTGCTCGTCTGTTCTCCATGCAGCACCTCAACTGCGGCCACGTAGCTGAGCGATCGGCGACGACTTCCGCAAGCGCAGCCGGGAGTGTCGCGGCTCCTCGACGCGCCACGTCGTGCTCACCAGCACTCAAGAGCTGTTGAACGCGCAGCTGGCGTGAGATGCAGTCCCCTGCGCAGACGGCAGCAAGCAGCAGCAGCAGCAGCAGCAGCAGCAGCAGCAGCAGCAGCAGCAGGACATGGGCGTCATCATATATGAAGATGGGTGGTCGCTGCTGGCCAGTATGATAGTGGCAGGCGTGGGCATGTATGACAGCAGCCGCCGCAACATCTCCTGCTGCACTACAAGCTCAGGGCGGAAGAGCGGATGTCACTGTGCCACGGGGGCAAAAATACCGCAATTGTAGAGCGGCGGTGCCAGTGGGGGCAGCAGGGGGGCTTATAACATGCAGCCGCCTGAGACGCACGTGCTCAGGACATTGTCTTCCGTCGAAGTCATCCCCGTTGTTGACCTAGAGGAGGCCATCTGC